GTTTGATCTAGTGGTTAAGGCACCAGGCTAGAAAGCAGGAGACTGTGAGTTCTAGTCCCACTTTAGGCATGAAAGCTGGCTGGGTGACTTTGGGTCTGTCACTCTCTCTCAGCCCAATTCATCTCACAAGGTTGTTGTGGGGAAAATAGGAGGAGGAAGGAGTATTAGGCATGTTTGTTGCCTTTATAAAAATAAGGCAGGATTAAAAAAAAAACAATAACAGCAGAAGCAACAGTGAACTCTGCCCCTCAGTGAAAAATAATTATCCAACTTTGCTTTAGAATCATACAGCATTACACGTGTGCTGGGAGGGCCAATCTCCCCTTATTTGATTCTCATGGTTTTAAACTTGCAAGGTTGATTGGGTTGGCAAATCAATTATGAGCTTCTCTGCTCTTAAATAGGGTTCTGCACCTGGGTATCCTCCTGGTCCCAGCTCAAGATCTTAACTGTTATACCACATGATCCAAATTTAGGTCTACTGTTTACATGTATACATACTCAATCCAAAGTGCCAGTCAGCAGACACTGGTGGAGATGGCCTCGCATCCAAAGGCCAAAATCAGTGCAGAGGCCTTGATATCATTGTACGAATTGAGAATATCACTAAAGTATTCCCAGTGGCCTTTGCAGAAATTTAAAAATCAGGCCCCATCCAATTCCCAGCCAAAGGCAGCAAGGTCACTGATTTCTATTGAAAAAAGAAAGAATCAGCAGCCCACAATTTGGTGAGTGGTAAGTTAAAGAGAAACCTCCATAATCAGCAGACAGAAACAATTTCCTGGGAAGTTTCTCTAATTTACTAAGGACTGGGGAATTGCCAAAAATGAAAGGTTTTAAGGTTGGAATCCTATTCATACTTTTATGGAATTAGCTGTTCACAGAACTCATCTGAGTAGACATGCACAGAATTGCACTGTAAACCAACTGTATGGCCAAAGAGACAATTATTTTACAAATTCTTAAGTCTAGATGAACCACAGAGCAGGTAAGTATTCATAACTATTATTTGCTCTATCTACACTTACCAAATATCAAATGAGATAGCTTGTAATCCTAACCCATACAGAATAGGACCTTTGCTTTCCTCCTACCAAAACATAGAGCTTAGGCGGACTTTTCAATGTCCAGTTCCCCCCTATTTTTCAATGGAATGCTTTTGGGGAATTTTGGAAGCTCTAACAAAAAGGTCCAGGGGCTCATGGAACTCCTGACATGCAATCATATATTCAGTTGAGATCCCAAGAGATTTTGGGTGCAGCACCACTGAACTCTAATTTTGAATGAAACAGAAAATTAGGAAGTAATTGTGCTGATTTCATCCTTTTGTTTTTATTGTTTTAAATATAATGCCTTTTCTTTTCCTGATCCAACCTCCTTTTGGGAATATGGCCTCTGTATACCACACAACTGCAAATATGGTCCTTGCCTCAATTAATGGTGAATATCAATAATTCTTCTTATATTATGGCTGCTTTTATCAACTGATTATGCAAAAAGTGAAGCTTAGTTCTTTGCCTGATACTTTCCCAGCTTCCTTTGCCTTTTCTGCTATTGTCTTTTATTAAACGTATGTGTTGGACAAGTTTTCAACAGGGATAGCTCTGAACTGGTGGGTGTAATGTGCAGCTAGACTCTTACCTGAGGAATGTTTGCCCACTGAAATGCTGGGAGAAAAAACAACAAGCATTTACCTGAAAGCATGGCAAAGTGTATCACTGAAGATACAGTAGATGATGGGGTTGACAGCACTGTTTAAAGCTGGCAGGTTCTGAATTATCACTGCTGCATAGAAGCGTTCTTGAGTTTCTGGAAGGATGCTGAAGTTATCCAGGATATCAAAGAGAAAGTAAGGACTCCAGCAGAGCACAAATGCTGAAAGAAATTAATGGAAAAAAAGGCTGTATATTACAAGAGCTGCTAATGCCATTTTGCTCAGATCTCCCATCAACACCTTTAAAGCTGAAAGAAATGGATGTAAACTTTTTTTCAGCCTGAGACATGGCCAGCCCTCATGATTTCAGTGGGTTCTGGTACACCTAATTTAGCATAAGCTCTGGTTCTTATGCTTTGGAACAATGATTTGTTTCTAAAAATAAATGAAAAGAGGCAAAATAGATCTGCAACATCATCTTTTAGAAGATGATAATTTTTAAACACTGAAATGACTTTTCTTTCAAAGAACCTCAAAAGCATTCTTGCCTCTGCTGTTGAATCTTACAGTAAGCATCACTCTTTGAATAACTTAAAGGGAGCCCTCGTTTAGCAACTACCTCAGATAGCAACTGTTCACAAATAAGATGGTAATAAATGGTAGTAAAAAAAATCATTTTCTGACCAATGCACTCACACCCAAATTTCTGGACCTGACAACACACGCCGGGGTGAGAGTAATGCTGGTGTTCCTGCACAAGAGAAGTGTATCTAAACGAGATGGCAGCAACCCTGCATCTCTCTCAGTCACGTGGTTTGCTTAGTGACCATTTCATGGGAATTTAGTGTGGTTGCTAAACAAGGACTACCTGTATTTATAGCAATGTTCTGGAGATTCATGGGCAACAGAGGAGTGTGCAAATACAACAGCCTCATTTGCACATCCTGTCAGCAAAGAGACTCCTAAGAAAACAATGTGCAATGCATAATACTTTAGCCTCTTATATTCATCCCTCAGGACTAATCCCTGCAAACAGAAATCCAACAACGGTAATGCAATCACATTAAGCACATATGTACATCCAATTAAATCATTATTAAATGCTAGGGAGTACTTCTTAAGATGTCCTCTGGTTTAATACTCATGTAATCAAATTAATATGACTTTCATCTCTAAGCCAGAGATTCCTCAGCTTTACCTGTGATAGAATATTAATTAGCTATAGCAAATTAATATTCAAATGTACAAGTTAGTTGTGGACTTCTCCCCCTAGCATCTTGAAAAAAATATGACGGGAGATTCTCAAAAAGAGAGAGAAATTTCAATAGAAGAGAATATCTGTAGATCAGGGTTGAACTGTGGTGTCCTTGGTGCTCTCTGAGCTTGATTGTTTGCTTGCAGACATTTCATTATCTGACTAGGTAACATCACTGATGATATTACCTAGTTGGATGATGAAACATCTGCAAGCAAACAACCAAGTTCAGAGAGCACCAAGGACTCCAGAGAGGTTTAAAGAGCAAAAGAATGAAGCAGTGTATGGATGTGGATGATGTGTAAGGAAAAATGGTATGGAGATGCACAGTGACTATTTTTGGTTAAACTAGATTTAGTTGACTGATTGCATTATGAATTCATGTAACTTTCCTTGCATGTTGATGCCTCAATAGAAACATGGTAGAGAAATTGTTACACGTGATCCATTTAACTGATTTATTGTTTCAAAACATGGTGGCATAGAAGAGGAACAACACAGCCTCAGTGAAATCCTTTTGGGAAAGCCTGTCTTTTGTTGTTACATCTGTAGTTTAAAAGCAGGAGAGATTTTTTCATGTATTTAGAAAAGCATAAAAATGCACACATTTATTATTTCTGCAAAAATATAATAGGATGGTTTTTATTCTTTTGATGGTAACAAAAACTCCTATGGTTTTGATTAAAAACACCCACATTTCCTGGGATTTAACAATAATGTGAAATTTCAATCATTTATTTAAAAATATTGTAATATTGGCAACAGCATTATAACACAAAATTACATTCTCTTCCCAGCACTGGGCTATTTGCAGTATTCTTGCAGATCTATAATGGACCACAGTCTGGGAACCCTTGGTCTAAACCTTTTGGTTCAGGCACAGTTCCACTTTTTCATCTGTTACTTGTCTAACTTAATCAACATTTGCTAGACAGAGCTGCAGAAACCTGACTATTTCTACCTTCCTACTTTGCAATACACCAAATTAATTAAGTCAAATAACAGAGGACAAATTACAATTATTACTCTTCTGTCCTCAATGAATTTCCTCAATGATGGGCAGATTGTACATTCTTCTCTTCTGTACTCCCCTTTTAATTAAACCACAGTTCCTTGCTTTACACTTAAAATGGGAAACTGTAATAGCCATATTTGTTTAAAATTAAGTCTTAAATCAGAAACAATCCACCTTTTCAGATTCTCACATGAGGTCTCCTTTTCCTGTTTTATGCATAACAGAGAACTGTGATTTTAAGAAACCAGGATCTAAACACCAAAACCAGTTGTGACTGGCAAGAAAGCAGGCAGCATTAAGATTTGGTGCTCTTTTTATGCCAGGATATTATGTCTGAATCACAAGACCTGCTACATTTGCCATCATAGATACAATTTTTAGGAAATGGTCAATAATCACAAGTTGTGTATGATTTGAAGAAACTTCACAGAGCAGTTCTATTGGATTGCTAGGAGAGCTTTGATGCAGGGACTTCCATCAATCCAATGTCCAGCTGGGCTTATCTTGGCAAACCAATAGTTCAGAAAGTTTAAAATTCATTATTTTTCCTGCACTTTTTCTGTGAAGAAAAAATCACACTTACTGCTTGCAAGCAATGAAAAGCAATCAAAGGGCTTTAAATTTTGTTTTCTTCTGGGGTCGTGGCAAAGGCCTAAGATTCAACGCTTCTTCCACCATCTCATGTCTGTCTGGGACTTTCTTACATTGAGTTTTCCTAAGAAAAGAGTTAGATGTGGAAGCTGGCAGGGACAGGTGATCCAATGACAAATTTTCATCTCCAAATCCCCTCCCCCCACTTTTAATAACCACACTGTTTTGTATTTTAGTCAGAATGAGGAAGAAGATAAGTTGTTGTAAGGTATATTGTGAAGGCACAGGTCCAAATGAAGCTGCAGTACCTTGGAGAAAAATATCAGGTACTCCAAATCTCGGAGTGATGGACAAGTCAAGAATCAAAAGATCTAAAGACACTCTTTTTCCTTCCCTCTGCTCAAAGGGCTATCTTAGCACATATAATGTGAAAACAGTAAAAAGATGGGGTATAAATCAAATAAATAAATATACTGCAAAAGGGATTTTGAAAATTTGACTTTAAATTAGCTGCTATAAAGTTCTGCTGTAAAAAAAAAGATGCACCAGAAGGGAAAAAAAGAAGAAGTAATACTCTGCAAACCTCAGGCCATTCAGTAAGGAAGTTCCATAGTTCTGGGCTGCTTTCAAAATGTCATACTTATTCAGGTGTTGTAGAAACTAAATTTTCCTATCTTATCTTGAATAGTTCTATAAAATGATAATGATAAATAAATGATAAATGATAAGCCAATAAAACTATAAAATGAAATACTGTTATTGATTACTTACCCCAGCTTTATCTGCTGTTCAATAATAAGTTTGCTTCTATTCTACCTTTGAATATAGGAAAGCTAAATTTGTGTATAAAGAGAACATGTGGGATGGAAATCAATGTAAGGTTGTAGAGAATAGTGTCTTTCTAGTCTGTAACTGTGCCATAAATGCCACTTATTCTAAGATGATTGAGGGTTCTAATTTTTCAATTGATTACTGATCTGACTCTTGGAAAGGTATTTTGGTGACAATGCCTTCAAACATTCCATTCAGTCTAAGCAATACTGCGCCTGCCACAAAAGCCAGGTTTAAGATAACTTGCTATAAATCCAGATTGTCTCCAACATATAAGTATGTGTGAAAATGAACCTCTTACACAGGTCGGTGCAGTTGCATATCCACATGTTCAGCAGGTAGTCTGAAGAGAAGCTGTACTCACATTGCACTGTACTCAGTAATAATATAATTTTCTATGCAATACAGAATCATCCTTGGTTTAGGTCCTGCATGGCTGGACATCTGAAGATGCTATTATTTTATACATTTCCATTGAATTTTTACTATGGAGGTAGGGCTGATATTCCCCCTCAGGAGACAGCCATGGGATCTATAAAAAGTGAAGCCTTCTGTTGGCTGCAACCAAGACAAACCTTTCTCAAAGTTTAGTCAGCTGGCATATGTTACCACTTACCAAGAATAACTGTGACACTATATTTGATAGCCTTGATTTTTGCTTTTGATATAAGAGCTCGATGGGTGTAGCTTGCACAGAATTTACCATCTGCAGAAAAAAAAGACCCCCCCCCCCGAAAACATTATAGAGGCATAATTGGAATGGGGAAACATTCCTGACATCTCTGCAGTTTAATCAAATTGCAAATCAATACACAGATGAAATTTCTTTAGCCCCAAATTTTACTGCTTTCTAACTTTAAGAATATTTTTAAATGAGAAATTGCTGCTGCCATTGTTGAGAAATTCAACAAAATATAAATTATTGATTCTGATTTTGTAATTGAGTTTCTAAATTAAATATATCCTGCTCCTGCCCATCTCAAATGTCTAGTATTGTGCTGTAGCACAGCTTTCACCAACGATGTACTCCACAGATCTGTTGGACTTCAACTCCCAAACTTTTCATTATTTTTAGTAGAAGGCAAAAACTATTAAATACATGGGAATAATCCTACTAATTGAATTTAATTAGTTTAATTGTAATGAGAGCAAATTATTTCTTTTCATACCCTCCTAATTTCTTGGAGTGTGTCTTTTGGTTCAAGAAAAATTGTACATATCTTTTTAGCATATGATAGTCATAACATATAATTTATGTGTTTTTTATGCTGCAACCAATCAAGGCATACCAACAAGTATAGCAATTCTGAATTTTGAAATTAAACATTGTAACATTGAAATTTTCTTCATAATTTTTTCATTCTAAAAATGCAGACGAAATAGCCAACTTTTAAATATTTTGATTTTTTAAAAAAAATTGAGCATGACTAAATAGTTATTATGGATTGTCTTATGTAGCTGTGGGGGGGGCAGTTATATGGGGATAGCATAGCAAGGCTTGGCAATCACCACTCATACTGCTACATTCTGGACCAGCTGTAGCTTCTGAGTGATCCTCAAAGGCAGCCCCATGTAGAACACATTGCAACAGTCCACCTGCAAAGTGACCAAGGCATGAGTGATCATGAGCAAGGCTTTTAACCCAGGAAAATGTTCAACTGATGCACAAGTTGAACCTGCGCAAAGGCATTCCTCAGAGCAGAAGCTGAGAGTCCAGGAAGACCTCCGTATTGTGCACCAGTCTTGAGCAGGACAGGGCATATCTTATTCAGAAATAAGGATGGGAAGTCCCCAGGACTTGGAGGAACTGTAGCGACTCAATTTTGCTAGGTTTGAGCCTGAGCCTGTTTCTCCTATGAAGACCCAACATCTTCCAGGCACTGAGACAAGCCTTAACATTGCTCATCCCGGGCCTTGGCTGATTAAGCAATTAAGTATCAGCAACATACTGAGGATGGCTATTATGCCTGACCCCAAACCAACAAATAACCTCCCCTAGTGGTCTCATGAGAAGTTGAACAGGAAGGGAGAGAATGTTGCATCCTGAAGCACCTCACAGGTCAGAGGCTTTGAGCTTGACCTCTCTCCTCCAAGCAACACTGATTGGAACTGGCTGCAGAGAAAGAAACAGAACTATCATAACGTTGGGCCTCCCACTCCCTGTAGCAGGTCCAAGAGGATACCATTGCTGAAAGTACTGAAAGCCACTGAGAGCAAGGAGGGGCTCAATAGTAGCATTATCCCCATCCTAGCTGTCCCATAGTTCAATGCCATCTCCATACTATGTCCAGATCTGAAAATTGCCCAGATAATCAGTTTCCTCTAGGATCCTTTGTAATTGACCACCTTCTCAACAACCTTCTTAAAAAAAGGGAAGGTTTGAGACTGGATGAAAATTGTCCAGGATGTTTGGGTCCAGTTATGATCTCTTGATGAGGGGGCACATCACTGCCTCCTTCGAGACTGGTGAATTAATGTCTGGTTTTAATGCCATAAGTGTCCATTCCTCCCTAAATTACTTACCGGAGCACTTAGATATTATTACAGCATGGGCTTTACTCTTAACCCATATTGTCCGAATCACAATGAAGTAAATAACACTAGAATGGGAATAGCAAACAAACAAGTTATTAGTTTGGTGTGGGTGAAATTCAAGAATTGTAGCTATCACTGTGCAATTTTATCAGTACTGTGTGTATTATAGGTTTGATTACAAGTTCCATTGTAGTTAGAGACCCATTAAATAAATGGGAACATATTCTTGATTAATTTAAGAACCACTGATTTCAGTTAGTCTATTCCAAATGTACATCTAGGGTCAGCCCTTCATACAGAATAGGCAAAACTTTATTAATGAATCCATTTATACTTTAATAGATTTTTCTGTTTCCTACTTCAAGAAAACATACACTTGCTTGAACATTTTATTAAATCCAATTATCTTACTGAATGACTGTGAATGTAGTTTAATTCTGAGAATTTATAATAAGCTCATTGTCTTTTTCTAAAATAGGATACTATTTGGATTGTTTTTCTCTGCATTGTAAAGCTAGAGATAATTATAATTTGCATTTCTTTGCCTTTTGCTTTCTTTTCAGGTATGACAGAATATCATAGCACTGGAATCCTATCATGACATTTGGCCTAAGCATGCTTATTTGCCCTTTATATCTTAAAGAAGGTGAATGGTTTGCACTTTGATCATATGCTGTTTGTGGACAGTAGGGCCACAATCGTTAACAGTGAGCAGGGTTGTGCAATTCCTTTGAAAGAGATGCTTTGGAATATGCAGGGGCACATATAAAGTATTTATTTTTTGAACTGTTAATACATCATATCTTTTTCCACCTACTTCAAAAGCTGCTTCTGGATGTATTTGCTTGTGTATGAATACACAATCATTTAAACTAACGGAACAAAAAATGAAATAAAATATCTCTGTATAAACCCATATCGGAGATATCCAGAAACATCATCTGAAGGAGATGCATGAGCCTGGAGAAAGATCTGGCTGCTTTAACTATATGACAGCAAATACTTTTTACGCATCCCTGTTCACTTGCAAGTAGCTTTTTCAAAGGATTTGCACAGCCCTAGCAAAGACTCTAGAAGTTCCACAGCTTTTTTTCCCTCACATATATGCTAACCTTTAGCCAAAAAATTCTGAAAGATGGACACAATAAATTAAAAATAAAATTGAAAAGTGATACATCTAGACCTAGGATTTGATTACCAACATTCTTAGTGGTTTGTTTAAAAGCTAATAATCTTCTAGTCAGAGCTTTCACTATTTTTTACTAGTTGCTACTCTTTTTCTGAAAAGCAGTTAATGCAATTATGTTAACTGTGTTCTGGACTTTGTTAAATAATTTTATTTTTCTCTATAATTATTGTTATGCTATGGTAAATAGATATGAAATATGAAAGCAGACAAAGAGATGGATGCAGATTTACAATAGATCCTATGAAATATATGGGGTTAAGTTAATTGTGACCAATATTTCTCAGTGGTTTCAAGCATCTACTCTTAGTATGATTAAGCCTGGATCTAACACCATGATTGTACATGCAGTACTTCTAGAAAAATTCAACAAAATTAACATGAAATTAGAAATAATAGCAGATAAAATGGGTCTTTATAAGCCCTATGTCCAGTTCCATCTGTCATAATCTAATGACTCCCTAGTTGTGGCTTAGTCATTTCATAGCTGTTTGCTTTTTAAACAGCATGAAATTCTGCTTGTAAATGGAAGATATGAATGATAGGATAATACAAAGTCAAGGAGATATATGCACATAACAATTCCTTTTAATAAACCTCTAAATCCCTGTTGAAATTAGATTAGAAGGTGGTACATAATTGCACAATGCTTGTTCAAATGATTATTCATAGAGCTAATGCATTTCAAGGTAAGGTTAAGATCTTTTTTATGAAGTACTAATTTCCAAATAAATACATGAAAGCCATAGAAAGATGGCTATTGTTAGCTATTATTATTGCCTGCACTAAATCTACAGATATAGCAGACTCCTAGAAACATGATGCAGTGAAGATTTTAAGGAGTGGCTCTTAAGGAGGAGACATGGCAGAAACTAGCCAGGAAGAAAAAAAATAATAGAGGAAATTGTTTGCCTTACTGCTAGAAGTCTCAAACTTTGTAGCATTGTGACCTGGCAAAATGATAAATTGAATTTTGCTATCTCTCCTCTCCGAATAAAACTATTTTTTTTCACTAGGGTTAGGGAAGAAAGAAATATACTACTTGCTTACTCTACCATATAAAACAATGGTAGAGTCTTAGAGGTTTCTAAAAGAAAATATTAAAGAGAGAGAGAGAAAGACAGACAGACAGACAGACAGACCATATTTTTAATGGAAAGGATTAACTTTGGCATAATTCCTGAAACTGGAGTTTTATTTGAAGATAGTCACTCTCATCCACCAGGTAGGAGAAAAGAAAAGTTCATTTCCTTGCCTTAAATCAGCTTTTCTTAAAATGCTGCAGCTTGGAGAATAATGTAAGACTGTAAGTTGTTTTTGGTGCCGTCTCTCCCAGTACAGCTGCACTGAGATAAAATCACACCCCAATCTACTTTCAGCCTGAATTTGCTTTGCATGTACAGTATTAATTTCCTCATCCATTCTCTGTTTGCATTAAACTCTCTGCATGCATCTTCCGATCCATGCAAACATTCACATGGGCAATTATGTCTTTTGGCCAAAATTCTCCTTTGATCTCCTTCAAGTTTTCTTCAGACTTGTATTTACAAACTTATCAGAAAAAAAAATCCATGAGTACCAATACTGTATTTGTATATATTTTTGTCATTACAATAAGAAGGAGTAAAAATGGGCAAGATTAAGATAAGATCCCTATTAAGATAAATACAGATCTCTCATGGATGGGTGAAAGCTGTGCCTGGAGTAGGGTGTATGAGAGTAATCTGCAAATAGTCTTACCTGATAATAATTAGAGGAATAAAATACACCAGGAAGGCAACTGTGGTCATATAAGGGATCCAGTAAGAGTCGTCTGGCCAGGCAGCCCAACACTGCACTTCTCCATTAGACAGTTGGCGTTTCCCAAAGATGATGAGAGTGGGAATTGAAAACAAGAAAGAGAGGCCCCAGGCAATGACAATGAGAATTTTTGCCTGCCTTTCTGTTTATGGGGGAGAAAAAAATCTCATTAATTCTCAGCGTAAACAAAGTATCAGTAGGGATTAGAAGAGTTCTCCATAGAAATGTAGTTGGCTGAGTGCTATGAAACAAACACAGTTTAGCTGTGCTTAACTTAATATAATTGTTAAGTTAATTAAACCAATAACTTTAATAACTTTTGTTTACTAAGTGTCTTACTGTGAAAGAGAAAGGATAATTAATACCCTTTCACATTTCAATTTCAATCGGGTGTCTTTCTTTCATTTGAGAAGTCAGTCAAAATTGCTGTGATTCTTTCCAGTCCAGCTGAGAGGAACAGGAGGCTTAGCTAATACACAAAGAAATAAAGCAAAAGAAAACACATCCAAATGCCTATGATTTTATAGAGGAGAATCCTTAAGTCATTGTCAGCATTTCAATACGGTTTGCAACCAAGAGGTCTCTGATTCCATCTACAAGATCTTCAGTTAAAATGGTGCAGATAGAAGTGCTGGTGGAGGTCTTCCATTAGGTCTAGATTTAGCAGGAGGCTCTCTTAGGCAAAAGCTGGGAACTAGCAGGACTGCTGCCATCTTTGCAGAATAACATCAATCCAGGCTACCTGCTGTCAAGAAGCATACCAAATTCTTCAATGAGTAAAAACACTGTGCTTGACATTCCTTTTCAGTGTCCCCAACATAACATCCCTCTGAAATAATGCTACATGGGAAGGAGTTAAAGAAATTATATTGAGGGGGAATTAAAATGGCATTGGACCTGCTCACTCAATGAAGCTGCTCAGGATGGCTTTCAACAATGTGCAACATAGTCAAAAACACAAAAGCTAAACAAATAAATACTGTAAAGCTTAATGTCATGTCTTCCCATTTATCGGACTTTGGATGCGATTTGTGTCCAAACGGACCTCCAAAATAACAGGCTAAGTCCATTGTATTTCAAACACTCTGGAGAATTCACTTAAATTTGTATTATTTCTGCCAATGTTTTGGAATTTATGTACTGATGCAAGTATACAAATGGTGCAGCTTATGTCATTTGCATCATGCTATGTCATTTTCATAATAAATGATGTAAAGCGACATAAATAGAAGCAAATTACCTACATTCAGTTTTAGCAGACATTCTGGAGGAATGGACACTGCACGAAGGTTTCACTCCAAATAAATACGTGTAAGGAGGATCGTGGATGTAGATTTTTATGGGTCCCTTAGAACAGGGTTCCTTCACCCCA